GGGGGGGAGAATGTTTTACGGAGCGGGTTGTCCCAGCACGTGAGACATTATTTACTAATGTCCTGTCTTGTTGTGCATATGCGTGAGTGCACCTAACCTTTGTAACGTCTACTACCATTGTTAACGACCAAGACAAATTTCTCCCTGCGAGATGAATAAAGATTGTCATTGTCACATTCTACTCGCCGGGCATTTTTTGTCCTATAAAACGTAGCATATCGTTCTTATCTCTCCTCATTATTTTCTTGGTATGTTTCTCTGTTGTAACACATCTAATCTTCGGCACTTAAAAGACCTAGATGAGTTGAAAGCGCCACAAAACTTTTTCTAAAACTAAAACTAAACCTTCTTCGCTCTGTATCTATACATTCATGTTTGACCTGTAACGAAATTGCCCCGGAAGAATCAATAAAGCATAATTTATTTATTTAGATCTATTCAAGTCTCACTCACCTCAAACAATCGAATGACTTTAGCCAGACTGACCGCTCCCTCCCTCAGCGACAACAGAACGTTGAAAGCGACGTAATCATCTGGGAAGGCGTCTGGCAAGAGTCCAGGATCGAATCCCTCCTGGTCTCCGATGGAATCGGATTTGGTGACGCTTACCCGCCGCTCGTGTCTCTGGAACTCTTTGTTGGCTGCAGTCTCGAACTTGGCGTCGGCGATGAGACTTTTCTTCCGCCATCCACCGTGCTGGGAGTGAGGTTATGGGCAGAAGGTCGAGGGATGTAAGTCAGTGAGTTGGCGTTGTAGAATGTATAAGTATACACGTGATATTGAGTCAGCCGTTCTAAACTAGTGCTGGGCGGCTCGATTCCCGATTATTGAAAATGAAAGCTAGGAATCGTAGGAATCGACTCCGATCTCAATTACTTACTTTCTAATGATGTGATTTCTTCCGGTGGTTACCTGGTTGGCTCCGAACATCTTCAGGATTTAGGATAACCTTGATTTCGGAACATTCCGAAGTATCAACGTTTATTTTTCAAAGATAAATTCTTTTTAAAAAAGATTTTAATGATTAAAGTTACTGGTAACCATAGGGTTTCGTGAAAGGGAACTTTTCTTCCGTTGCCTTAGTCGTGGGAATCGGTTCCCGAATTTATTCTTCGCCCAGCTCTATCTAAAATGAATTACAACGCGCCTTTTGAGCACGACGTCACGGCCACTCACACGAGACCCCGCGGAGAGTGGCGACCCCGGATGTGATTATTATGTCAAATGAGTTTCGAATGAAGGGTTAAAGTTTACTTTTACCTGAGTTTGATTTTGTTGTTGAAAGGATGAAAGATACGGGGTGTTGGAGGTGTGGGTAGAATAGATTTGAAAGAAAGGAATGGGAACAATGGAGAAGGAGGGAGATGGGAGAGCTGGATGAGATGGGGAATGGGAGAAAGAGGAGGACAGGGTTCTGGTGAGGCAGGTACGTTCTGGATACAGTTAGCACATGAAGTTAAAGCATAATATCGTTGACAAAAGGTTAAAATTTCCTACCCCCCCCCCCCCAAAAAAAAAGTTTCAGGAGAGAGAAAACACCGTTGCAATACTTTATCAAATTATACCAACATGACATAATGTACCCTTTCTTGCTTTCATTTTTAACATTTAGAACTTGAATTTCGACCAAATATTTCACGATTATTTGCAATCAATACACCAGAATGACTAATAAAATGCAGTAAAATGAATCAATTAATTCTAGGTTTAGTACATCTGAACAGCAAGCCGACGACGTGAGTTTGTGTTGTTGAAGCCAAAATTGACACAATCATCGAAATCAACCAAATAAATTTTAGAGAGACTAAAGAGCATATGACTCAGAGAGGGAGGCAAAACAACAGTATGCGTTCAAACATACTCCTTGCAACGGCATCTGTGGAGATGAAGACAGGCAATTAAATTTTCAATATCACGTTAACACAATCCAGAACAAGGAACATAATATATTAAAGGACATCTTTACGACAGAGAGGAACAAAGAAGAATCTCCTAGGTAGAGTTCTTTGGGACACCACAGTGATAAAGACACAGACTGCAATAGCAGTGATGTAATTATTCGAAACGTATGCGCTGAACACAGCATGATGATCATAAACATATTTTCCCCACACGGGGTGATTAAATCAAGACCTGGTGCAAGTGGAATGACCTCATTGACCTCAGTCAAGCATCACAAATCGATTTCATCCTGATGCGCAGAAAACAAAGACATACAGCAAAGAGAGGATGCACGGATACTGTATTAGGATTACAATCGCTATCTAAGAAAAAAATCGAGCATAAAAAATCAGCCGACATTGTCTTGGCAGATCAGAAGAAGGCTTTTGACAGGGTCGACCGGGTCAAGCAATGAAAAACACAAGATCAATACAGCGTCGAAGGACAGTAGTCGGAGAATGTTAGAGCCATGTAAACCAAACGCAGAAACTCAGTAAGATCAAAAGAATCCAACACAAACTGATTCACAATAAATCAAGAGTACAACATAAATGTGTTTTATCCCCC